ACAGATAAAAACAAAAAAACTCCCTCTGTTGTTATGAACCTTATTTTAGTGGGAGAGTGAAGGGACATAAAATAAATGATACATCATATAAATAGATAGTAATCCACACTAAGGATAAAAATAAAGCAGAAAGAAGAATGTTGGAGAAGGGCAGTATATATGGACATTTTGACAGACAAGTTAGGCATATACCTAAAAGAGGTGCGGGACTGAATGATGCCCATATCTGGAGGAAGAATATCCTGGGTAGAGAAAAAAGCAAATGCTAAGTTCCTAAGGTTTTTTTGGAGGGGAAGTGGATGACAAGCTCAGGAAATAGCAAGCAGGCTAGTTGTGGCAGGGGCAGAGTGAGCAGGAGCAGAAATTTAAAAGAGACCAGAAAGCTAATGGTAGTTCCACTGTGGCTACAACATTCTTTCAAAAAGTACAATTGAGAGGTTCTGGTGCCAGAAAAGATTTGGTTTATGAGAAGAGAGTCAAGGCTGACAGCCAAAGCAACTGGAATTGCCATGTATGAGGTGGGGAAAATTGTGGAGTAACAGATACATTTGAAAAGCATACTGGATACAAATCTAGAGTTTGGTGTTTCAAATGCTCCCAATAGGTTTATAGATCTCCTTACTTTTCAACAAGGAAATAGAAGCATAGAAGTTAAATAATTTGTTTTATGTTTTCTCTATCCAAGGTAAGAGTCCACATTTGTTATTTTTAATTATCATGAGTACATACTAATTGTTATCTTTATAGGGTCCATGTGATGTTTTGATACAGGCATACAATGTGAATTAATCAAATCAGGGTAAGTGGGGTACCCATCATCTCAGGCATTTCATCCTTGCACAGGGGCCACGCTAATTGTCTCTGTATCGTTCCAACCTTAGTATATGTGCTGCCGAAGCAAGCACCACATTTGTTGATAGTACACTTCTGACCACTAAGCTACTTAGAAACCAAGTTAAAACAATTACTGCTTTAATGCTTTACTCTCCTACTAGACTAGCTGGTAGGTGTTCAATAAACACAGGTACAACTAATAAATGGGGCAAGGTACTTGCTTATCAACTTTACAAGACAGCCTAGTTCACTGGTGAGCACCTATTAAATATTACGGCTATGATGGCAGGCCACCTAGTATACTACTCTTCTAGTTCACTCCATATAGTAGAAACAATGAATAAAACCACTGCTCCATCAATTCTGCATTCATTCCTAAAAAAAACAATTTGTCAGCAACGAATTTATAAACTGGATTCCTTCAGCCCCAATTCTAATTTTCAAAATAGTTCACGTGGTAGAAACTGAAGTTTTGGTAGTCTTAGTAAAATATTTAATCCCACATATTCAATGATAAGCTTCTCACATTCCTCCACAAAGTCAGATAAATTTAACAACATCCAAACAATTCCCAGAGAATATAATGGCATATTAAAACACCACTAGCTTTCAGTATGGGTCGTTCTACAATAAAGTTAAAATGGCATGTATATCTAAGATTTACAAAGTCTGTACTTTTTAAGAAATAGAAGTATAAACAGCATTAAAAAAAATTTCAAACTAACCTTTAACTTTAATCTTCGCTTTTTTCGCTTTCTTTTCAGTAATTTCATCCTCTTTATCTACCTCTTCTATTTTGCGTTTTTTGGAACAGGTTGGAAGTGTGGAGTCACCAGAAGGATCATAAGTCTTCACTTCACTGAAAGAGCCAAAGAGTTTTAGAAAAGCTCTACAAATATCTGTAATTGAAATATAATAATTCTCAAGAGATGTAAAGAAAAGGCCATTAGAAAATACTTACATAAGCATACAATGATGCTTCATTTTAGTGGCTTTGGGGTAGTTTATGAAGACTAATAGTTTCCAAAAGGTAAAGGTATTAATATTTTTCAAGTAGGTCAATCACATTCAAGAAGTGGTGAGCTAAATGAATTCTGATTTAGTAATCAATGCGGTTACTATGGTACAGGAAAACACTCAATCAGCATAGGGGGAAATGAAAAGAGAAAACCCCCTTACAACTGACTAATAACTAGAAAGTGAAAACTGAACGAATTCAACCATTAAGACATTGGCTAATTAAATGAAGGGGAAAAAAAAACAGGAAAAAAATCTAAGCCAAGTTTAATGCATAAGTCTTCATCACAAGATCCCAAGAGACAGAGAAACAAGAGGGACTACGCATAGATAAAGATACCCTAGAACACAACATTTGCTTTTGTTCTAATGTAGCAGAAAGAAAACACTGAAATGAGTGCCTAAAATGTGAACTAATTCTTATAATAATTTGGTGCTTGAAATGCATGTGTTTAAGGTGATAAGTGTAATGGCACAGGAACATAATAAAAATTTGTTAAAACTAGATAAAGAATGTTCTATTTCTTAAGTGGACTTGTAGATGCATGACTGTGTTTTATAGGTTAAAAACATAATTTAAGAAACAAAGACTCACATTTGTCAACTAAAGACAATAAATTATAGACTTTAAAA